AARRAAAAMWAAAAAATAACAGATTTTTAACAAAAATCWCTATATAAACAATCTAAACAAAARGACAAACTATGATTTGTCATTAGAGGTTCTCACTGCAAACAAATCAAAAATTTTTATCCTGAATTGTATTAAAATGGCACAATTTTACTGCATTTACTTCAATACTTTTCCAGAAACATTGATGTAAAATAATGAAACACAGGTCTGCACTCAATGTAAACAAAACACTTTTCTCTGCATTCTTTACCCCRAAAATCTGAACCTATTTGTTCCAATATATCAACAATGTTTTCAGTCACTTTGGCTCGCTGTTTTTTGCACATAAATTTTGAATTTCAGAACACATCACTGAGAAGTTATGACAGGTGGACTGAGTTTAAAATAATTTGTTAAATTTGTGTGATTTCCTTTGTTGGATATCTTTCTGCTCATCTTAATAATCTCCATCACAAATTACCTGCAGCAGCTTCACCTGGACTCACTTTTTATTTCTTCTTCTGTTCTGTTTTGAATCTCTTCCTCTCTGCTCCGTCCTTACTGTTATGAAAGGAAGGAAACGTGTGTTTCTGCGTTTCGTCCTTACATCCAGGTGTTTGGGTCAGGATTGAGGCCAACACTGCGGTCCTGCAGCACCAGAAMCGCGGGTCGGTCGGCGGTGTCGTCGACCTGCCCCCTCAGCTTATCCTGTGCTGAGCTGATAATGGGATCTGCCCTCTGCCTCCGGCCTCACCGGCACCACAAACACTTCTCGGGCCTCACCAGAAAGTGAGCCATGCCTGCCGCTGCCCCACCTGGTCACCTGTAACAAACGATTTGCAGTTTATCTGTGGCGGACACCCTGAGCCTCAGTGACGATAAATGATTCACGTCCTGCTCACCTGCTGGCCTTTAGGAAAGGTCATCGTGTAGTACATCCTGGTTAATCACTGCCTGGCATCACGCCCTTCCTCTCTTCATCCTTTCCTCGTCTCTAACTCACCACACAAGGATGTTTTAATCAAATATTGTACTGAAATACAACATGATGCCAAGTTGAGTATTTTTCACACTTTATAGTGTGAGTTAAAAATCTCAGTTTAATTCAATTAAATATCAGTATGCTTCTAAAATAAGATGTTTAACCTGAAAACTTAATTTTGCTGCATATTAGAAACTCGGTAATAAAAAAACAATAACAAACAATAATTTTAAAGTATCAGAAAAAGAGCAGGAACACATTTCTTTCATGTTAATCTGAGGATTGTGCCGTGACCTTCAGGTCCTGCAGGTTAATCCCGTTAGCTCCAGGCAGACGCTGTGGAAATCTGAGCCGCTCTGTCTCCGGATCTCGGCACCACCGGCATGCAGAACCACCTGTAGACGAAACGCAGGTAAGAAAAACCAGTTCAAGTGGGAAAATTAAGGAGGATTGGAGAGATGAAAATTAATACCGGCTTTTCTGGAGTCAAGGATGTGAGTGTTTCATCCAGGGCTGAAAAACTGCTGCAGAATTAGTTCATATAGAAAATCTAAACATTTATGTTGTAATTGTTGTTGCTTGACAGAAACCTTCTAAAACTGCACGAAAAAGCTGTCAAAAAGCAAAACATTTGATTGTTTTTCCTCTTATGTTGCATTTCTTCATCAGTTCAACCCTGGTTTTGAGGTTAGACCAACATGAGGCTCAGCTGATCTCTGCTGATGGAAGCAGAMTATTAAGAATCACTAAGTTTTATGCAGATTTTCCATCACAACATTTAAAACTTCAGGCAGATATTAGCTTTTTGTTACTGTTGGCAATGTTTGTAATGATGTTTAACTGATTTTGCTGCTTGATATAAAAAAATGAAAGAYATTAAATTAAATTTTAGGATATTCTGTCATGCGAAAACAACCAGTTTTATTAATATAGGTCTTTTAAGAGCAACTGAAGTGGGTCAAAAGTGTTTTACAAGTAAACCAAACAAAAACAGTGAGGAATTTTTTTAAAAATATCATGAAAAATGTGATAAAACTACACCTCAGATCAGTTTGCTGTGGTTTTATGAAGTCTTAACTTTGTGAGAAGATGAACCATTTATATGAAGTCAGACACGTTTGTCTCAGCCTTCAGATTGAAGTGTCCTCTTTCTGTTTTCAGGATGTTTAACTGGGTGGTGAAAGTGGTTCCTCAACCTGCAGAATCTCCRGGGTCTAATGAAACCACCAAGACCACCCCTGCTGTAAGATAACACACAGATATGTACACAGGATGAGGTCATTTCTGTACTTTTATAACAGTTTATACTTTATTTTATCTCACAGGATCTCGTGAAGAACAACGAGGGTGAGGATCATTCACAACTTTAATATTATGTCCCTTATTTAAAGCTGTGTTTGTGTATTTTGTGTTAAAATTAATTTATTTCTCACAGCGAAGACACAGAAAAAGACAGAAGAAGTTTTGGAGAATGGGTAAAGCTAATTATTWCATTTTTTAAGCACAAGCTGTCTAAGGTCCATCAGTGATTGTGTATTTAACGTYTGCTCACAGTCAGAACAACACCGGAGTGATCAGCTGGCTGTCCAACGGGTTCGTCAGCGCCCTGCCGCAGCCCCCTGCRTCCCCTCTGCTCAGCTCAGACACCCGGGTGAGTCCGCGTCAGTTCATCCTGAAACATCAGGCTGAGATTTGACTTCATCCTGAGCAAAGTTCAGGAATGAGACAGACTTTGTTTTAATGGTGTTTGTTTTTTCACTCATTTTCAGTCCAGTACCTGAGTAGCTTAGAGGAAAGTCTTTTTATTAGTCYTCCTGACATTAATGTGGAATAATTCTGACATAAAACGGTCATAAACTCATAGGATGAGTGTAGACGTACAACAATCTGACAGTAAGATCAAAACTGTTCCTTTTTTTTTTTTTTTTTTTGGTCAAATCTACAAAAAACACACACAAAACACAGTTTAACTGCATCATTCAACTTCTGTGCCAGATTTTTCCGGGATTTTTAGATGTGACTTGCAGATTCTGTCCGTCACCTTTTGTTTTGTCCTCTTTTGTCCACTTTTCTTATATTTTTATCCCAAACTCTGGATGCTGTCATGATCAGATTCAAAACCTTGACAGAACATGAGTGACGAATCAGCTGAGGGTCGAAGAAAAGTCCAGAGAGCTATTGATTAAGATGATTTTAACAAACTCTGACTCATTGGAAACAATGTAAACGAGATCAAGGGGTGGTTTAATGCTTGTGCACAGGATATTTCTATAAAAATGAACCAGAGTGTTTTTTTTTTCTGTTTTCTTATCAATTTTTTCTGCTTTTTCCCCTCTGGCAGTCAGGGGAGGACGGAGAAAGGTAACTGTTCTTTACATTTCCAGTGAATATTTCCCTCAGAGCTGCAGGGGTTTTTAACAGCTGCTCCCCCCTCAGGTCCGGAGTCATCGGCTGGGTCACTCAGGGTCTGACCAAAGTTCTGCCTCAGCCTGATGAGAAGTACAGAGATACTAAYGACAACAAAAAGTCCTCAGAAGAACTCACAGAGGTCAGAGGCTGTTTACRTCTGGAAACAAAACCAATCAAATTAAACTACGTTTGTGTTTGCRCAGGTTCATTAGCTGCGGCGGCCATCTTGAATTGGGTTGCAGAGGTACACTGTGTGATTATTTGGAGGCCAGGAAGGGTTAGCAATCAGAACTGTATGTTCTGTGGAGAAGAACCAAACAGAAAGTCCTGCAGAAATCCACCCTCAGGGGAGCTCACTATAGATTTGTGCAAGCCTGTAAGGCTTGAAGATCCACCAAGCTAAGATGAAATGTTTGGTTAAGATGCAATCAAAGGCAGAAGAATAGAGGAAAAATAAATAAATACAGAAGATAGTTTCTTTGACTTGTGTGACGTTTAACTCTGCCTCCCAGGCTCGTTAGACTAATCGCGTGCAGAGATTAAGGTTTGAGAGGAGTTTAAGGCGGCGGTTCATCCAAGTTAAAGCCTTTTGTTAATTTTACTGCATCAGAAACCAGACTCCATGATTAAAATTCTTTTACCTGCAACATTCAGACCACCAGGTTTCACATCATTATGTTTTAAACTGATGCCATCTTTGATTTGTCCTTTAATGCACGTTTTGTGCYGTTACAGGTGTACGACGTAGCGACAATGCCAGGTACTTATAAATCGTGTTAATATTTGCAGTTTAATAAAAGTAAATCGAACAGAAAGCACCTGACATTTAATTTCTTTTACCCGTTCAGAATTCGACCCTCTTCCACACATCCCCGTGGTGGAGGTGGTTTCAGAGGACGAGGAGGTGGAAGAGGAGAGTTTGACCTCTCAGTTTACGCCCAGGTAAGGGGCGAACGCATTCACAGCTCCTCCACCTGATGATTTATTTTTTGCATGAACAGTAGAGTTTAAATCCTGCCCGTGTTCATGTCCTACTTAACTCATTTACTCTACTTAACCTCTGACCTTCTCTCCTCCCTCCCCGCAGAGTGAAGAACTGGATAAAACAGATAATCCCTCAGCCCATGATGCCCCCTGGTACCGTACCCTCAGAGCCACCACCCAAAGCCTCCCGTTCTTCCATTGATAAAAGTAAGTAAAACTCAGGCAGCAGTGATGGCTGTGTGAATACTGATTATTATTTTCCTGTTTTATTATTGTTTTTCTGCAAGTTTTTAAAAATGTTACTACTTGGGCATACTTTAGACCATTCATACATCAAAACGTTCGGCTCGTTCACAAAAAGGAAACTATGACTTTTGTTTTTTGTAACTTTCACACTTTTCAAAAGATTTAACTTTGATTACACATTTTTTACAATATATATTGGTATTTCTTAAGCTCTGTTTTTGACTGATGTTACTTTCAGTTTTAAGCTAATCTAGACAGCATTTGTTGACCATTTATTTCCCTTTTTTGTTGTAAATAAGTGCTTTGTTTTTATGTTGCTTCAGTTCTTTCTCCACCACCTGAATCTCTCAGTGGGATCTCACTGGATACTGATGGCAAGGCCTCTGGGTTCGTTTTTTTATTTCTTTATTTTTTGCAAAATGTAACATAAGATGTCAAATTTAAAGAACACTGAGGGAAAAACCAGGATCAACAGGTCTACTGTCATTCATTGTTACAAACATACAGTGGTTTGCAAAAGTATTCATACCCCTTGAACTTTTCCATATTTTGTCACATTACAACCACAAACATAAATATATTTCACTGGAATTTAATGTGAAAGACCAACACAAAGTGGTATACAATTGTGAAGTGGAAGCAAAATTTTACATGAATCAAAACATTTTTTACAAATAAAAAACTGAAAAGTGCGATGTGCAAAATTATTCAGCCCCCCTGAGTCAATACTTTGTGGAGCCACCTTTTGCTGCAATTACAGCTGCAAGTCTTTTAGGGTATGTCTCCACCAGCTTTGCACATCTAGTGACTGCAATTCTTGCCCATTCCTCCTTGCAAAACAGCTCAAGCTCAGTCAGATTGGATGGAGAGCGTTTGTGAACAGCAGTTTTGAGATCTTGCCACAAATTCTCAATTGGGTTTAGGTCTGGACTTTGACTGGGCCATTCTAACACATGAATATTCTTTTTTTTAAACCACTCCATTGTAGCTTTGGCTTTATGTTTAGGGTCGTTGTCCTGCTGGAAGGTGAACCTCCGCCCCAGTCTCAAATCTTTTGCTGACTCCAACAGGTTTTCTTCCAAGATTGCCCTGTATTTGGCTCCATCCATCTTCCCATCAACTTTGACCAACTTCCCGGTCCCTGCTGAAGAGAAGCACCCCCAGAGCATGATGCTGCCACCACCATATTTGACAGTGGGGATGGTGTTTTCAGAGTGATGTGCAGTGTTCTTTCTCCGCCACACATAGCGTTTTGCATTGTGGCCAAAAAGTTCAATTTTGGTCTCGCCTGACAAAAGCACCTTCTTCCACATGTTTGCTGTGTCCTCAACATGGCTTCTGGCAAACTGCAAACGGGACTTCTTATGGTTTTCTTTTAACAATGGCTTTCTCCTTGCCACTCTTCCATAAAGACCACATTTGTGTAGTGCACGACTAATTGTTGTCCTGTGGACAGTTTCCCCCACCTGAGCTGTGGCTCTCTGCATTTCATCCAGAGTCACCATGGGCCTCTTGGCTGCCTCTCTGATCAGTGATCTCCTTGTTCGGCCTGTAAGTTTAGGTGGACAGCCTTGTCTTGGCAGGTTTACTGTGGTGCCATACTCTTTCCATTTCCGGATGATGGATTGAACAGTGCTCCGTGAGATGTTCAAAGCTTGGGAAATCTTTTTATAACCTAAGCCTGCTTTAAACTTCTCCAAAACCATATTCCTAACCTGTCTGGTGTGTTCTTTGGACTTCATGATGCTGTTTGCTCCCCAATATTCTCTTAACCAACATCTGAGGCYGTCACGGASCAGCTGTATTTGTACTGAGATTAGATTACACACAGGTGGACCCTTTTGAGTCATTAGCAGTCATCAGGCAACTTCTGAATGCAATTGGTTGCACTCAGGGAAAAGGGGGCTGAATACTTTTGCACGTCGCACTTTTCAGTTTTTTATTTGTAAAAAATGTTTTGATTCATGTAAAATTTTGCTTCCACTTCACAATTGTATACCACTTTGTGTTGGTCTTTCACATTAAATTCCAGTGAAATATATTTATGTTTGTGGTTGTAATGTGACAAAATATGGAAAAGTTCAAGGGGTATGAATACTTTTGCAAACCACTGTATGTGTTTTAGTTTTTTTTGTCAGTTTTTACACCTGTTCCCCATTGTCATTAGTCACAGCTGCAGCTAATTCTCTCATCAGCCCCAGTCTTTAGAGTCAGCTTACTCAGCTCTGTCGTTGTTGAGCTTTATGCCATGTCTGGTTTTCCTGTGTTCACCTCCAGATGTTCCTCCAGTAGAATTGCTGCTTTTTATATTTTATTTAATAAAACCTTTAAGTTTCATTAAAGCTCCTTCATGTCAGTCTGCCTTCCTGAGATCAAACCTATGACAAAAAAAAAATCTAATCTAAGTGCAAAATATCTCCTGATTCGATTAGTTAAATCATCTAGATGGACTATAACAATGCAGCTAAAGTAGTGATAATATTTGGTCAGATTTTGGTAAATGTTTCTGAATCAATTCACTTCATGATCACTTGAGACATTAAATCTTAATACRGTCTTGTTTTACCTCTCTGGTAACTTCCTGCAGTATAAAATAAAGATATCTAAGCCTAATTTTTTTCCACACATGCATGTTTAACTCACTGCTCTTCTTCCTCTCCTCAGTGTGGTGGACTGGTTTGTGTCAGGACTGGGTCTGAAGATGCCTCAGCTTGTTGTTCCACCTAAAGATGACCCTGAGGTAATTTTAACCACAAACTGTCTTATAAGCTTGTTTTTTTAATTAATTAATTGGTCTGTTGTTTTTATTTACTTGTGGTGACTTATATTGGATTTCTTTTTCAAATTTGTTTTAGGCTCCAACTGAAGTCCTACAGAAAGGTGAGTTTGAGCTTCTTGATCTAACAAAACCCACTCTGAATTGCAGTTTCATGCCACAGTTCACAGTTCAGTGACAAATTTGCAGACATTTTGGTCAAACCTCAAACTTAAGCACGTTCTCATGCAATACCTTGAGATGTAACGCTCAGATTATGTGTTGTGGATGACTCTCAGCCACTACCACACGAAATTTTAGCTAAATATCTGTTCATCTTACTGAGTTTTACATTGGTTAATGTTGATCAGTTGACTTAGATTTACTCCAATAGTTGCACAACCAGTGAGTTTTTCCTGAAAGTGTCTCTAAATTCTGTTGAGCTGCTCCGTCTTGTTTTCTCCCCCCTCATAGTTTTCGAAGAGCGTTTTTGGTTGGACGGTCGGAGCCTAACTCAGTCCCTCTTCTCCTTCTGTTTCAGGGGGGAAGGCGCTACGAGCCCCTTGAACAGCAGGAGGAGACGGCTGGGTCGACGCTCCCATTCCCACAGATAGATAAACATTACAGTGTGGACAGAACCAGAACCGCTCAGCCCAGAGGTTTCAGGCAGCTGTTAAATATTTTAAACTCGCTCAAATGTTCTTGGTMTAGTTTCATAAGAGACTTAATAATGGAACTAGAGTATGCACTGCTATTTTTCTAGCCTATTTGTGCTTATTTTTGTTTGTAATTCTAATTTGCACAGTTTCTGGTGAACAGAAACGTTTAGCATTGCTGCAGTTTGCATGAAATTGCTTCTTTACCATATTTTAAGTTATTGTAAGGTACATTATATATTCATGTTGGCAGAAAACAAGCAATAGCCTAAAACAGGAAAAAGAAAATCTTAAAAAGTTGACTGGATTATCCCTTTAAGCGGCAGCTAATTTATTAATGTGTTGTATGAAATCAGAGTATAACTGAACTCATACCTGATTTATTGTAGAGAAAAATGCCAATAAAATTTAATCTGTAAGTGTAATATTTCCTTGAAGCCAATGTTTTTTTTCAGTTAAGAGAATCATAAATTTGAAAAAAGAGAGCAAAGAGCTAATGGTCTACAGACAAAAAAGTTTAGGGTCAACTGAAATCTCTTCAAAGATTTTAATTAAGTTGGCGCTGGTCCAATCAGTCTGCTTCATTGACTTGAACTGTGAACTGTGGTCTGAAGTTGAGTTTAGTTCTTTGTTTTCAAGAGCCAAGAAAGTGTTTTGTCCTTCAAAGATTGTAGTGAGAAAAAAAAATCAACTCCAATGTAAGTCTTGTGCCAGAAAAATAAAAGTCCAGTTTGTGAACTTGTTTACATTGTGTTTGTCAATGATCTGCTGGCCAGGGGCAGAGCCAGGGGGTGGCCATGGTCACCATAGAAAAATCTTTGGCCACCCCAGTGGCCACCCCGACCATCATTTGTCCAACAAAATTTTGGGTAAACTTATTTCTATTTGAAGAACGATCAGTGTACATTCAGGCAGTTTATTTATTATTTATTTATTGGTCCCTAAAGGATATAAATGGATGTTAGGATATAAAGTTTTCTGTATGATGAAATGAATTCCAAGCTGTTTTGGACATGTGTACAAAAACAGAGAGACTCTTGAGTAGAGTCGCTGCTCCTCCACATCGAGAGGAGCCAGTTGAGGTGGTTTGAACATCTGGTAAGGCTGCCCTCTGGACGCCTCCCTAGGGAGGTGTTGCAGGCATGTCCAACTGGAAGGAGACCACAGGAAGGCCCAGGGCATGCTGGGGGGAGGCTGGCATGGGAATGCCTTGAAATCCTCCTAGAAGAGGAGATGCCTGGGCCTCCTCACGACCTGACTCCAGAACAAAATGCAAATAATGGATGGATGGAACAAAGACCATGTCTCGTTAATTTACATCAAAAACTCATGTAGAAGCCAGCCGACAAGGAATCTACTTCTGTTTTGACTTTAACTTGCAGCAAAAAGACACAAAAACACAAAACTAAGGATATTTATAAAAACAGAAGAGCTGGACACTAATACTAAAATAAATTCCCTCATTTTTGTCTCATAAGCTGTCCCTTATCCCCGTCTCTCAGCTTCATCCAAACTCAAACCAGACTTGGTGCTGGAGGACGTGGAGTCGGACAACGAGGGCCAGCAGAGATGTGTTTCAGCCCCGCCTAATTCCTTGAGTCCACATTCAGTCACAATGAGTCCACATTCAGTCACAATGAGTCCACATTCAGTCACAATGCAGCAACAGCAACAAGAAACACAGAAGAAGGCTGAGGCGCCAACGTCGGAGAGCGTGACGAAGATTTCTCAAGAAGATGCTGAGACGCAGACCGGCCGCTGGACGCCGTTTATCGAAAGCATCAAAAGGGAGGCTGAAGATGTGGCTTTAGCCACTATGGAAGAACGGTAAGTAAAGGTGTAAACAAAACAAAGAGTTTATTGTCTTTACTGATAAATAATAAATGCTAATTATCAAACAGATATAAACAAAACAATGAGAGGCTTCAGACTTATCACAATAATAGACCATAGACCAAAAAATTTTATACATTTAAACTTTAGAGCTGCAAACTATGGCTCTGGGGCCAAAACTAACAGAAATGAATGTTTATATAAGGAAAAACTAATGTAGCTACTTTAGCTACTGCTCTGTTTAATTTGATAGCATTTAGCTATTTTTTTCAGCTCTCAGCTACTGTCATGCTTCTTTTAGCTTTTAGCTACCATACTCCTTTAAGATTATAGCTATTTTTTTACATTTTAGTCACATTTTTATTTCAGCTTTAGCATTAGTTTAGCTACTTTAAGTTACAGTTTTGCTAATTTTAGCACTGGTAATATCAATTTTAGCTACTTTTTTCTCATTTTAGCTTTAAATATGTTTTGCTACTTTTAGCTGCTATTTGGATAGTTTTAGTGTTATTTTGCAAACTGTAGCTACAGCTAAGCTAAATGAAGCTATTGCTTTGTTAATTTTACTCTGACATCAGTTTAGCTACCTTTAGCCACTGCTTTGTTAATTTTATAACTAATTTTATTCATTTTGCTTCAGCCTTTCGTCAATCTTTAAACTGCTTTTATTTAATAGTTACTGCTCTGCTTCCATTCAAGTTCTTTAGGATTTTTGGCTAATTTTAACTATAGTGTTTCTGATTTCAGCTTTAGTGTTTGTTTGCTTCTTTAGAGTTTTTCTAACATTTGCACTGATTGGGACTTTTTTGCCTATTTTAGCAGTAGCATCTGTTTTGCACCTTGTAGCTTTTGTTTAATTAATTTTAGCTTTAGTGTTTGTTCAGTATTTTTAGTTACTGTTCTACTGCTTTTACTTGCTCATTATTTTTTTTAGCCATTACCTTGTATAAACTTAAAACCTTCTGCTTGTTTGGCAAATTTCAGCGATGCCATTCAGCGTTCACACCACTTCACTGCAGTAAAAGTAATTTTTTTAGCTGACATTAAATTTCCTGCACAACTGACTGAGTTAGCCTGCCCTGTGTGCCTTCAGGCTGCTCCAGGAGCGGATGGAAATGGCCCGTCTGGCTGAAGAGGTGGCCCGGCAGACAGCAGAGATGGCCGTCAGGCAGATGGCCAGCGAGGGAACCTCCATCAAACTCTCACTGGAGAGTCAGGAGCTGCTGGTGGAGCCTGAAGAAGAGTAAGGCCACAACAATTCTCTGCTTGGGTTTGTTTGGTCAAAGTTTGTAAAATATATGATGCTGAATGTTCACTGTGGCTGCAGGTTACCAGTGATGGAAGAAGAAGAAAACAAAGAGGAGGAGAAGGAAGACACAGAGTAAGAATCTAATTAAAGTTTTTAATTTCCAAAATGCTTCCAATAACTTTACATCCTGTCTCTGGCTTTGATATTTTTTAGCTCAAGAAATAATAATAATAAAAAAAAAACTATTTGGTTAATTTTATTAAGTCACTAAATTTTATTTTTCCCACTTCTGGCGCCTCAACAAAAAGCAACATTTAATGTGGTGAATTGTATTGCTTATATGCAGATATCGTTTCACAAAAATGTATAATCTATAATAAAGTTGTCAAGAATATTTATGCAAAATATAAAAAAAMCTAATAGTTCTTTAGCTTAAAATTTAATAAAGATGGATTGTTTTGCTCATAATAGTGGACTTTTCCATTTAAAATCAAAACAAATGAAATCAGACAGCTTTAACTCCACCCGAGCTTCAGCAGCGTCACGCCATCATTGCTCCATAGCAACCACAGCTTCCCTTGACAACAACTCACCTCATCACCCCGCCCCTCAACGGTCACCACGGTGACGGCGCGCGCACCTGCAGTCCGCTACCATCATGTCGCTTTTAAACCGATTTAAAACAAAAACGTAAAGAATTGAGTGGATTTTATTACACGTATACAATTATTTGAACGGATTTACGAGCGAGAACACGTCTCTGCTGTTTCTGTCGATGTTGGCTGATATTTCGAGTAGGGACGTTTAATAATTATACCGTAAATTTGACGGATAAAGTGAGTATTTTACGGATATTTTTTTTACTCATGCTATGCTAAATATGTTACGAAGCTAATTAATTTGACTTATTTGTTAACTTGGTTGAAATATTTGGAAGTAAAGAGGAGTTAAAATTTATGTCAACAAGTGGTCGCACATAAGTGCGAATTCACAAGTGGGTGAATTTATGCTAACAGCAGCGAAAACGCGTTATCTGGGATGCTAGCTTAGCCACAGGTTCGGCAATAAATTAGCTTGTAGCAACTTGTTGTTTACAGAAATTGTCTTTGTTTACATCTGAATATAGTTTTTTCAAAACATAATTTTGTAAGTATATATTACTTAATCTGAAGACACCCCAAATTGAATTTCCACAGACTTTTTGTGAAATACTTATTTACACTCAAAAACACATTTGTGTTTATGAATTGTGCCTCGTTGTAAACATGAAATCTTCCAGCAAACTTCCAACTTACTTCTCTGTTTATCCCTCTATTAACATCATTTATTAGGGATGTGGATTTTTTTTTTATCCTACTCAATATTAAATCTGACAGCGGATTCCAAAAGAACATTATAAACCATACAAAATAACAAAAATCGTGATTATCTGAAGTATGAGGGAAGTTATTGATGTTTGTTTAGGTGAAATCAGCTCATGTTTTCTTGCTGCAGTTCACAGCAGAACCAATGGGGCCTTTGTGACCATTTCACCTTCTTGTTTTCTATTTTTGCTCATAACTTAGTGTTCAAGATATCGCCATGAAATTTTAGGAAAAGATTCACATTCTGGTTTTTGTAGGAAGCATCTTGTATCTTAAAAAACTAATAAAACTTAATAATAGCCAATGCAAAAGTAGCAGAAAAGGTATAAAATATTATCAAATCAACTTAATGTGTCTTAGAAAGTAAGGAAATTAAAACAATTTAAAAACCATGTGGACATCTGTTTTGTAAACAAAGCTCCTCAACCACAGCGTGTGAAATGTGCCAAGTGACGAAGACGAGCGTCAACTCACTTTGCACTATTCAAAAAACATAAAATAAAACACTTTGACGTTTCAAATCATTATCAAATTTGGAACAAGGGCAGATAAAATAATGTTCTTCATGGCAGCTTATCTATTTAAGGGGTCACTAGAAAAACTCTGGTGATTTACTTTGATCCTATTTTTTTTAAAAAAAAATGTCTCTTCAAAACGCATCAACAAAAATTAAAAGCTCGAAGACGAGGCTGTAGCTAACTACCTGACATCAGCACGCTTTGTTGAAATTCGTAGAAATAACGAAGCAGGAGGAAATAACCTGTAAACACACTGAGCAGCCTTGCAAAATCTGGTCACAGCAGTTTGGGAAAAAATGGCAGCAGCTGCTGACGAAATGTCAACATCCCTACTTATTTACACTCAAAAACACATTTCTGTGTTTATGAATTGTTCCTCATTGTAAACTTGAAATATTCCAGTAAACTTCCAGCTTACTTCTCTGTTTAGTTTCTCCCYCTATTAACATCAATTATAGAAGATTTTTCCTTCTATTTACCAAAACTAATCAGCCAAATCATACTTTATTACCTTGGTTTAGTCTGTTTTCCTTCCACACCCCCAACCTTCTGCCAGCTGTCTTTAAAAAAACTGAATGTTTGCCTACTTAATATTAGAAGAAATTTCAGWGCTTGATTTGTCCTTCAGAAAGGAAGAAACTCAATCTCAGGACGAGCATAAAGTTGAGGCCGAGGAGCTGACTGTCAAGGAACCAGGTACAGTTTTTTTAACAGATTATGATGTTCTAACAATTAAGCAATACTTTGAATTTAAATATTCAGTCAGTCAYGTGAAATTTTATCCTCCAAACCATTCAAGAGCCAGAGCAGGAAGAAGCTCCAAAAGAGACCTCATCCATTCTGCCTCCAAGTCTTGAACCAGGAAAGGATTCAGAGCCAGAACCACCAGAACCTAAGACCGAGGAAGACCATTCAACAGCTCAGCCGGTGACTCAGCAGCCCCAGAAAACAGATGACGGTCAAATCAACACCGACACGACTGCTGGAAAAGTAATGTCCATGAGTTTTATATTTAGTGTGTCATCCTGTGAGCATAATGAGCATTACATAATCACATTATAAACTTATTGTTTCTTTTACAGACCAYTGAGTTGCATTTAAGTTTGATTATTAATGCTAATTGTTTCTGTTAGGGAAGTTTTATGATTTCCTGATCATTCAGTTTTTGTTGACCTTAGTTTGTCAAATCTTTAAAAAAATCATTTTTTTAAAGAAAACTTAAAGTTTGCCACAACTTTCATCTTCTGTGTAAATTTTTTATTGCAGGAAGAAGAAGCTCCTGGTGATGACTGTGGTGGTATGTATYGTCTGAGCTTATTTCATACCTGCAACATGTTGTGAAATCTGCTGACTGCACCATGATTGTTTTCTATCCTCCCATTAAGTTTATTTATCTTTAGTTTTGTCCTTTTCCCRCCTTGCTCTTACTCTTCCTGACTAACTGGCCAACAACCTGTCTCCTCTGTAGTGCCAGTCAGCTGCGATGCATTTAAGAGGTGCCTGATGCGCTTCCCTCCCACCTCCGAGTGCTTTGGCAACATCAACGCGTTCTTCAAAGAGAACGGCATCTCTGCCCCTAAAATTCCTAAGCTACCAACCCAAGTTTCTGAGATTACTAAGCACCTGCCTTCCCTTCCCCCTGAGTTACGCCAAGAGTTCTCCCAAATCCGACTCACTCRGGTCCCGAGGAACATTGCCCAGACTCTAACCGAGCTGCTGCCCAAAGGGTCGGAGGGATCGGCAGGCCCCAGTTTGTCGGGCCTCTCTCAGAGCTTTTCCAGCGTCCCTCAAAAGCTCTCGCAGTTTCCGAGCCGAACTCAGCAGTACTTCCAGAACGTCCGGAACCGCCTCAACACCCTTATGCCACAAGATGCCTAAGAAACACCAGCAAAAACACAAGCTAGACAAGAATCAGCAGGATGTAGAACTCAACCAGTTTGTGCGACACCCACCTGCCCCTCTCCCTCATTATTCTCTCCTGCGGTCCCGATCCCCATCTCCATCCTCACCTAGTGGTAGCACCCTTGATTTGCCCAACGTGCCATTCTACCCACGCCTGCCGCCCATCGTCAGCCCGCCTTCGAAGCTGATCAACTTCAGGTTCTTCGCTGAAAACGACTCCGACTGTTCTCCAGTAAGACCCGCAGGTGAATCAGTGTTAGCGAGCATTAACCGTCCTCCATGATGACATCCAGAACTCAGTCGTGTTGTGAGCGAGTCGAGATGACGGAGTAGCTTGTTTGTGTTGTGCATGTAGAGTTTTGTGTGTTTATGTGTCGTCTTTAAATTGTCARTTAACCAGTTTAAAAAAGACGAGACGTTGTGTAAAGTGTAAATGTTTCATGAACCCGTTTTTATTATCAGTGGAACATAATAAACATATCACATCCTGAAACTAATGGTGCATTCACACCAAACACGATTTCAGCATCAGGAGCATCAGGTTTACATGCAAAGTCTATGGTGGACGCGCTTCAAGCAGCGTCGGGAAGGGCTGCGGCGCCTCAAGCGCGATTAGAGCAGTGCGATTTGAACGATTTGAACAATCTGAGCATTTGACGTGCTTGAGGCGCAAATCGCTGAAGTTAGAAAATCTGAACTTTTGCATCTCAACGCGCCGCGTCAACCAATCAGAGAGACTCCACTGTGTGACGTAGCGACATATTTCCCAACGGGACAGTTTACTGAATGATGTCCACTAACCTGAAACAGATGGAGAGGAGCTCTTTAGCTGAAATCGAGTGCCTGCAGTCGGTGTCCTGACAGGAGATATCCGCACCAATGCGTRGCAGCGACTCATCAGACTGGACTCGGGACAAAAATAGTCCTGAAAGCAAGCTGTGAGCCTTTCCCGCAGCTCCTGGGTGATGAAAATCAGAATGTCTCTGAATTATCTGGTGAATTAATTAT